GAGACTGACAAAAAAGAAGAATCCTCAAAGTAAAGATGCTTCCTGCAAGTGTGCAGAGCTTTCTTGAGTTTTTATGACTGTTGTAGATAATAAATATTTGAATATGTCAATCTTTTGAAATAGTTTTATCTTCAAGCAAAGTTAAGCAAAGAATAGAAATGTGATGTCTTACTAACTTGTAATAATTCTGACAATAATTGATGGACTGCTCAAGAGTAATCTTAACCATTGTATATATGTATTTATGTATAGTTTCGTACTTATTTTATTATATGATAGATTGATATAGGAAATACCTATATTTAGAAGTTTTGTAATAACATCCAAGATATGTTAATTGCTTATTTATTGTATCGTATGTACTCATTCATGATGAATTATATATTTTTTGTAACAGAAAGTGGCTTTTATTGAATAAAAGTTGCTATCAATGAATTATTTTTTCCTTCGTATCCCTGAGTTTTATATTCCCATTGTCATTATTTTATAGACCACATACAGCCAGTAGTGCTCCGATTTTGGTGTGATGCAAGTGGGTGGAAAATCTTGAAAATTTCGGATTTAAAACAGAATTGATGCACAATTTCAGTCATTAAATATCTGAAAAAAATTCGGTTATATATAAAGAACAGTTGTGCTGAACAGTTCGTAGATTAACATACAGAAAAATGTTTTGATAAAATTTGCTTTTATTATTCAATATAGTTGACTTCGAGGGCAATACGATTATAGCGATCATGAAATTTGTTTTTAGGCCTCAGTTTAGACGATTACCTTTTCATCAGCGCAAAATTTATTTCCAGCGAGCATTCTCTTGAGCTGTGAAAACAGGAGAAAGTCGATAGGCGGCAGATCTGGAGAATACGGTGGATGTGGAAACAATTCCAAGCCCTATGCAACTTTGCCATCGTTTTCTTCAATTTATAACACAGTGCATTGTTTTGATAAAACAGTACTTTATTTTTCATCAAATGGTCCCGTTTTCCGCGATGTCGTCCTTCAAACGCTCCAATAACGCAATGTAGTTTTTGGGAAAGAAAGTTTTTGGCTTTCTACTACTCCATCTTGATAAAAAAAAGAATGATGAGGGAATCTTCCAAAGAAAGGAAGGAAGTAATCAATTTGAAAATTAGTAACTCTATACATGAATGTGTAGATCATGCAAAGAAGTAACTTTCAGACACAAACTGAAAGAAAGTCCTACTGAAACAGCTACTTTCATATAAACATTGAATTACACGAAAGAAAA